ATATATATATATATATATATATATATATATATATATATATATATATATATATATATATATATATATATATATATAATGAATCACATTGAAAGAGGCCTGGCCTTTATATCAGCCACAATACAGTCATTCAGAACATTATTTCTCACCTTGCTTGCTTCTCTCTTCCACTCCTTAGGGCAGTATTTGGACAGCTTCTGATCCAACGCCATATAGATGTGTTCATTATCTGTGGGACAGGAGAAAGTTTGACTCTTTCAATCTCATGATGCCGGTTTCTTTACAGCTGTTCACACAAGCACCTCCATCTACATTTATTCACATTCATTCTTTCTGTATCTATAGCTGCTGAAAGAGGCAAATAAAAAAAGGGGAAATTTGAAAATATCATTTAACCAAATATTAAATTGCTAAAGTTCTGTCTTTAATTTAGTATTTATTTGCATTCGTGGAGGAAGTGAACTAATAGTGTTGTAGATGTCATTTAATTGATCTGAAATGCCTTATAACAGGGTAAAAGAGCAGCCCCTTTTACAGAAGGACTTTTTGCAACCAGTCACCAACTTTCAGGAACATTTTGGACGTTGAAGCGCACAGAATTATTTTTCTTCACCCATATTTGTTCAGAAAGAACCGCTGACCAATGCAAGGCCTACAAAGCTCGACACAGACCAACTTAAATCGATCTTTTAATGGAAAATGTTAAACACAACACAAAGAATACATCTTTAATCTATCCACATTTTTTTCATGCTTTCATCTTAATTTCACAGCAAATGGGTCAAACATCTAGAAAATGTGGTTTGACCCATTTATCCAGCTTTGCTAAATAAGGCAATAAGGAAAAAAAAGACCTTTAATTGCTTGAAATCACATGAAAATAGAAAAACGTAGAAAAGTGCATGCCTTTCATATAATAGGGGAATATTATATGAAATACTATTACTGGATCCTTTTCTGCAGAATCAAGCAGCTTCCTTTGTTTCACTTAAATTTGGACTCCCTAGTTTATCATGAAATCTTCAAACATAAGGTATTTTGAAATTTTAACCTAAACACATTTGAGTACCTCTTGATGCCATAAAACCTGATTTGAGCTCCACTGTTTCCACTGCAAATTCAAACTCTGCCCCCCCAAAACAGGAGAAACAAATGTATAATTTTAATGCATCATAGATGAGTATGAAGCTTTTTAACTTTGGTAGATTCCTGGGATATGTGGATCAGAGCAGTGTGTGCACTCAGGTCCTGAGTTTCCTCTCTGTCAGGAGGACCGTGGGCGACACGCCTCTGTTTGCCTTCAGGATTTCATGCTGTTCAGACAAGAACTCCAAGAATGTCTGACAATCAGACCCATTGGCTCCCACTCAGCTGACCTGCTGTGCCACCATCAGCTCATCAGGAGGCATGCAGAGTGAAAAACACTGCTTTTGCAATAGACCCCCCACCCCCACGGCTCGCTCCCCAGAACTGTCACCAGCTGTCTCCTCGCCACGGTGCAAACTTGGTGACTCGCTCCATCAGCTCGGCTCGCTGCGACCCATTGCTGTCAGAAACTAGTGGCGCCCTGCAGCTCAGTGGGAGGCTGTCATGAGGAGGTTGCTCCAGGTTCCCAGGAGGAAGATTTACAGGTAGCTCTGACAAAGTATTTCCTGGGAAAGTTGCTCACTTGTCTTTAGTGACTCAGGGAGTTTTGTTCTTTTTTCACACAACTTTAACTCATAGTTAAAGATGCAAACAATAAACTGAATGGTGATTAGAAATGGATTGATTTAAGCTTAAAAAATAAAGGGTCTCAGTTGGCTTGTGTCTGTAATAGTAAAGTATTTAATATATGTTCTATAACATGAGGGTACCTAAAGTAAAATACATGGTCTGTACAGAAGCGCATTACAATAGATTTAGTAATTGCAGCCACAGCTGTCCTGGGGCACACTGGTAGAAGTGAGGCTGCCGTACACTGGCGCCACCAGTCCCTCTGACCACCATCAGTAGGCAATAGACACATGCCGATGCCAGGGCTTGAACCAACAACCCTTCCTGCAACCTCCTTCATCCGACCCCACTGTTGCCTTCCAGTGAGGGGTTCAAGAGACACCAGGTAGGCGTTCGCAGGGTACTTCTTTAGAATCATCATGATGTAGGGTTGCAGCTAATCATTGTTTTAGTATTTGATGAATTCATTAAATTGAAAATGCATATATTAGCAAAGTGCATGTTTTTGAGCCTGTGTGCTCCAGCTGATTAGTAGATTAGTTGACAGTTAACTTAACAGTCAACTAATCCATACTGTTCTGATCAGTTGTTTGAGTCCTACAACGATTTGATCCTTGACATGTATGAAGGACTAAAATTTAATTATTCTGTCATGAAATTTCTGTAAATGACTTATGAAATAAATAAATGTAGCACAAAATAATAATAATTATTAACCACATAAACAGATCAGTAAATAGGGCTGGGTAAAAAAATCTATTTAATTGATTTCGAATCGATTCCTTTACATTTTTGCAGAATCAGTGTCTAGAAAATGAGACCGATTAGTTTTATAGTGACGCGCGTGACGTTCACATTCAAATGAGCTGGAAAGATGCTTTCAAGATGACTTCAAGCCAGACAGCTGCAAATAAAGCCAATAGGTCGACTGAAGTCATTAACAAATGGAGGCCTAGCAGCAAACACCCTGCAGTTACAGACAACGCTGCACATTTGGTTTGTTCAGTGGAGATAATGCAGCTCCTGCATGTCTGCTGCGTCACGTCTGCTCGCTCGTGTGAGGCTTCACTTTTTCACTTTTCACAAACAAGTTTTCACTTTTAAGACCGTTTTGTTCACATCTGAAGTTTAAACTGTCCGATTTACAAGTTTAAACTTTGTGTTTAATGACAGGAAAAGAGAAATAAAATACATGAGTATTTTGAAACACAGTTGAACCACTTTCATTATTGTAAAAACAATAATGAAAGTGGAAATTAATCGATTTAGAACTGAATGAATCAAAATGGAATCAATTCAGGACTTTGGCAAAAACACCCAGCCCTATCAGTAAATCACACAATTTAATAATCAAATCTCATACTAAATATATCTTATGAAGATGTTTCACAGGGGGGGGACTCTGAGACCGTTGTTTTGTGGACCCCTGTCCTATAACATGATGAGAGATTTTATTTTATTTTTATTCAAGCTGCAAGACAGTCAGAGAGAGCAAGACTGTTAGCAGACAAATAAAATGCTAGAAGAGGTAAAGTCATCCTGCTTATGTTTTCTTCTAACTCTGTTATAAAAAACATGGAACAGAAAAGCTGATGAATGTGAGATGAGAAGAAGTCCTACTCTGAATGACGCTGAGCCCAAAGAGATGACAGTCCTTCAGCCGGAGAAGGTCGCAGACCTGGACCAACAGTTCCTGGCACAAAGTCTTCACCTAAAATTAAAAGCAAAACACATAATTCGTTTATCTAATTGACAATATTCTTTTAAAATCAATAAGAATATTTTTCTGTAAGTACTGCACATAAACAGTATAATCAGAGGGAACAGCAGCAGCACTTTGATCCACATCTTAAAATGTGTAAATAACAACAAAGAAATGTACTCACATTGACGATAATATTAAGAGTGTCATCATTGGGCAAAAAGACACAGACGCAGCGGCGGTCCTGCATTGTTTTGTTATTATGGAAGCTCAGTCTGTTCATTTTCCTGTGGCAGAGGACAGAGCAGGCCTTTTGTCCGCCTGCTGTAGGGGGGGGGGTCCTGGGCCCTGTGACGACCCACCTCCGCCGCCGCGGGCTCCGAAACCACCGTCCAGTCCCTGCTGTCCCGCTTCAGCTGCAGCCCAGAGGAGGCCCGACCGTGGGCTCAGCAGGCCGAGCAGGAATAACAGGAGAGGGCATGGGGACCCACTGTGGACACCCCACTGTGGAGACACATCAGACAGGAGTCAGGACAGGACTAAGCACACTATGTGAAAAGCTATAATGATTAAAAAACAATACAAATTATGTTAATGGACTAAAAGCATCCTTAAGAGAATCGGAATCTGTGTTTATGTGAAGAAACAGGCGAAAACATTTCAGAAAAAGAAGTGAAGGCGTTTGGAGATTGCTGAGACGAAGAGCTGAAGCATAGAAACCTCCAAAGTGACTGAAAACACAGACAGCTCCAGTCCAAAGTACATCCCAAAGCAGATCTTACATCCACCACATTCTTTTCATCTGAAAACCTCAAAAAGGAAACAAGAGATGAACCCTTAAATAATAGCATAGAGGTAAAAAGGTTTAAAATAAAATCATTTAAAATGCTAATTATACTCCAAGAGCTCGAAAAACACAGAAAAAAATCTGATTTCTCCTTTGACTTCTCATGTATTTGATTGAAATTTTTATATCTCTTTAACAAAATAATATCTCCATTTAGGATTCAAGCCAAAGCTTCAGTCACTGAAAAATTTCCTGTGAGATGAACTCGGCCAAAACATAAACAGTGACGTAATAAACTAGCGCTGGGTGTGTTTCAACACCGTAGCTGCACCTTCCACAGAACCTTTTTAAGCTGTTTGCTTACAGAAGTGCTCCTATTGGTTCCAAACGCTTCTTTTTCCTGCAAACAAACCAAAGCGTAGACACAGCAGAGTCAACTTTCACCCTGAGCTGCACCTGTGGAGGTGAGACCTTCAGAAGGTGAGAAAAGTCTCACACCAGACTAAAGGATGTTAAAGAACAGTTGGTTCCCATTATCACTTCTTCCTGTTTAAATATGCTCTCCTTAAAGCCACGCCATCACCTACAGCAGATAGGATGGATACCAGTTAGGATCACATTACAGAGTGAAAAGCAATTAGCATTTAAAAAGCTAAGGGTCAGAGAGGCTACGAGTTAAACTCAGCCCCATAAAAGCACAGCATCAACTAAACCTAACAGATAAAGCGACCCCGCCCACCCTAATGTTATCTATATAGACCCTTGCAGTTGAAGCTTTCAGGCTCCCTTCTGTCTGTTTATAACACCGCTTTGCTTCTGCAGAGACAATGAGCATTGTGGGCAGCCCAGCCATAAACATCCATGCTGTAGAGATGCCGCATCGGTTCTCATTAAAGCTGGTGATTGGATGCAGAGCGTGGCAGGCGAGCAGCCGCTCAGGGTGCTGACGGACCAGGAGTCTCTGCTCTGCTGCTGACCTTGACAAAACACACGCCTTTCCTTCTGCAAACAGCCACAGATGTATTTCCATGAGGGGAAAACCTGGACAGAACCACAAGGCAGACTGACTACCTTCTTCTCTCTCTTTTTCTTTTTTAACCATTTGCCACGTCGCGCTACAGGACAGTTTGCAGCTTTAATTATAGGAAAGGAATAATTTAGTTGGATCAGTTTCCTTCATCACCCCGAGAGCCGAACCAGAGACCAACAATAGAGAGATGACCCTCTAAAGCTAATAAAACTGGTGAAACAAAAAGAGCAGGGGGCAGTAATTCACTCTAATGTTTCTCAGCAGGACCACCAGAGGCTAGGGCTTCCAGCATTGAAACTCAAACAACATAAAACTAACTGGGCATGGCGCCGATATGATGTTAATTCCAGATTTCTGGATTACTTGAATATTAAAATACTTATACTGTCGATAATCTTAAAATACTGTCACGTTGTCATATAATTAGAGCATTAATTTTGCATTTATTTGCACACTTATTAAACTGGCTTTTCCAATTCTGTTGGGGAAGCATGTCCCATGTGGAGAACGGAAAAGGTGAGTTTTTGTGTCGATACCTTAACACTTTTTTTTATCATTTTTTTTATACTCATGGGGCCGGATCTATCAAAGGTTTGCGTGTATAAAAACGTGAGCTATTTCACTGCGCACGCTAAAAAATGTACAAACTGATCTATCAACAGCGTGCTAAAAGGATTTGGTCTTTAAAACGTCCTAAATAGCGCCTCTTATCCATTTAGTACTTTTTCTGCAATGAATATGCAATATGGGGCGTTTACACGCAAAAGTGCGTCTTGTGGGAGGAGAACATGTAAATATATTAATTTAGCACTCGCAAAGTGATTTATCAAACCTGAAAGCAATTTTGCTAACGGTATCTGACTCTATATTTAACACGTTTCAAAAGAAGGTGCAAATGGTCTGTATGCGTAATTGCGCACACATGGCAGCGGTTATTGTCACAAGAAGGAGACATGGAAATGAAGCAAGGAGACGCAGAGAACGCATTTTTTCACTCCGTGTGAATATTTTTGGAATGAACGAGGAAACCATCATCAAAACATATCGTTTATCCAGCATTGCCATTTTGGAGCTGTTGGGGGAACCACTCTTGTTAAATCACCCGCAAACCATGGTTCAGCCCCTCGTGCAAAATTCCAGTTTGCGAGCGCAAATTACTGCACGCAAAATTGGATCTTGATAAATCCGGCCCATGGTATCGAGTTACAAAGATTTTCTTGCGTCAATATCAAGTTTGAAATTTTCATTTTGTGACAACCGCACCAATGATTTACTATCATTTTTCAGTTTAGTAGTTCTTTGTAAAAAAAAAAAAAAATGTTCTCTGCACAAAGCAATTTAGTTACAGTTTTTTTTTTTTTTACAAGAAACATCCATATTTTGAGGGATTTCCATAAAGTGAGTTTTCAGTCAGGTATGATCAACTTGTAAAGCCCAGGATCCAGTTTAACATCTCTCTAACAGTCATAGGAGGCAGTCTACCTAAACACTACGAGGCTGCACAGGCAGCAACACTTTCAGCATCAATGCTGTTTATTTAGAGAATAGAAACTCTGACATTTTTAGAAGTTCAGACGATGAACTTTTGGAGTTTCAGTGAAACAGGAAGGCTTACTGTATCCAGTATAAACCGATTCGGAAGTGATGTCAGGATTCTAGTAAGCTCAGCATTAACATAAGGATCAAATTTATTCAAGGAATACACTGAGACGGTGCTGTTTCTGTAATGCTAGCTGTGCTGCCTGAGATGGTGCTAAACGTTACTATAAGATAAAGCCGTTTAAAATATAAAATCTGCCTCTATGGCCTAAAAGAAGAATCAGAATCGGTTAACCATGAATTGTGACCAGTACTGGTATTTAATGTTATAATAAAATGTTAATGCTAGGCATGTTGAGAAAGTATTCAAAGTTGTTTTTTCTGCTTTGTGTTCTCTTTTATACTAAAGAGCAGAAAATTGTTTTTTTAACTAAACTTTTGGAGCAAAATACATCAAAATATTTGCTCATAAAACTGGCTTTGTGCAAAAACCACAGAAACAGGAGTTAATCTCCTCATAAGATAAAGCGAAACCTCTTCAGCCAAACATCCATAATGGTCATGATTGTAATAAGGAAGAGGATTTAAAATCATTAAAGTTATGAGTTTAATAGTCCATTACACAAAGTGCAAATAATAAATTCTTATTTATAATTATATATGACAGATTTGAAGTAGGGGTTTATAAAAACAGTAGAGGATATAAAGAAATTCTGTGATACATGGTTTGTTTGACCGTTCTTATATATTGCTGAGCAGGCTTGATCCAACGGCAGTGCTTTTTAAATTCATTATGTGTGTGTTATGGTCCTTAGGAGGGAAATTTGAATCATTCAGAATCAAACTCGGCAATCAGGCCTCCAAAAAACTCAGGAAAGTCCAAATTGTGGTATTTTCTTAGCATTATGGGACAAAATAGGTTTAAGTGTTAATATTTAAATGTGCATTATTATGAAATCTGAGCCAAGTTTTTTTCCAGACCTGGGTCAATTCTAAACTCTCAATGTTTGCCATCTCCTCTGTCTATAAGACTTTTAGTGGAGCTTATCAATTAGACCCTTCACTTTTATCCTAACATTTCATTTATGTTTCAAATATTCATCAATCAGTCCTTTGGTTAACTAAAACAACAGCATAAAAGAAAAAGCACAGCTTCCTGCTCTTATTCTGAATAAATCAAAGTGTTGTTTATGTCTTCGTCGTAATGACTTAGTGAAAAACAAGATCTTTGGAATGATAAAGAAGGGAATTCTAAAGGAACATTACAACCGTTGGTAAGTCTAAAGAGCTCAATAGGTTTTATAGTTTTCTATAAATTAAAACTTTATATTCATACATATAGGTTGAATGCATGGATGAATTAAAATAAGAAATGCTTTAGAAGGATATATCCTTATAATGAAGCAAACATCTTAACAGCAAAAGATCAAGATGTTCAAAGTAATATTTCACTCTCACCTCTGATTACATGAAATAAAGAAGATACACCAGACTCAGACCACTAAGGGTCTGTTTACTCATGGGTTTTTTGTGGCCTAACTGTAATTCAATTCCAAAACTAACATTTGACTTCCCATCTGTGTCCTGGACTGTCACAGACACACAGTATTAACTACTCATTGATCACAATTTAATTCAGTTTATTTCTATAGCGACAATTCAAATCATGTCACCTCAAGGCACTTTACAGTTCAACCAGATCATCCAGTCAGATTGATTTAAAGTTTTATATCTAAGGAAAACCAGCTGATTGCATC